TAATCCAATCAGACGATTTTCATTAACCTAATTACAAGATTTTGATTTTTAATTGAATTAAGTGACGAGTTTTGAAGGAGATAGCTATTCTACTTCTGTACAGTCCCAACTTCTCTTCGGTACTCTCTACTCTTGAGGGACTACTCTCTGTCTCTATGTTCATGCTTTACAAACCTCCGTCATGTAGGTTCAGATCATGTTGAAAAGCAGAGTTTTCAGATAATGTTGATATTATCTGTACAAAAGCGGTGCACACTTGTAGTTCTTAACAGTATGGAACTTTAACAAGGAATGAATCGACCGCAGAAGTACACACAATCTTAAGTCCGGAAAACTCTAAACTAACAACGGAAAAATTGCTATTACACGATTTAAATCTATACTATTCCCTAATACCATGCTCCCTATAACCCAGCAAATCGACATGGTCCCGCTCTCTTCAGTGCTCCCCACGCTCCTTATAACGCCGTACAGCGATGTCCGTAGAAAAATTTAGATGCGGGTTGGACTCTGAAATGCCGCCAAGGACTCGGAGAGCAACCAAATCAGCCGCTGTGTGTTTGAAGACCAGCAGCTGTGGGCAGCTTGCAAGCTCCGTATGACTAAATTCGGCCAACACAACTCAAACTCTCAGGCAACTATAAAGTCGGAAAGGAGATCTGGCCAGAAAACAATTTCGATCGAGTGGCAAAGCAGACCGATAATAATTTATAGCCGAGTGTGGCGACTCCTGGTCAAAAGCCTGCGTAGACAGTACACAAGCTATGTCAAGGGAGGTCCTCATTTTCTTCAGTACTTTTCTACATCTGAGCTCAGCACAGCTTCAAGACTCCCCTCTCCCCTACTCGAATTCCAGTACTCCTTTCTGCCAAGGCGCAGCAAAGGCCTGGTAATTTAAGGCTCGTAAAGAGTGCTGGCAGTGGGGCAGGAAGCGGGCTAGAGATGGGCTAGCTGGCTCTCGCTTCCTGTCTGCCAGTGAGCCTTCCTCGCCGCTACTGTCTCTGCAACGCTCACGTCTGCACACTTTTATTCCACACCGAACTCTTCCTCGATAATAATTCTCGGCGCTGCTTTCATGCTCAAAAATATACTTCCGGAGGTCAAGCAATGCAAAAGGTTCAGGAAAAGCCTTTGCCTTTCTTGCGCTCAAACTTTTACCAGTTTCACTCTTCCGAGTCTCATGTCGAAGATCAGGGCCGAGGTCGTTCCAATTTTTCGCCTATAAGGTATCAACTCGTTTTCAGGCGAAATTTCTATTACTTTGGATTCCCCAATTATTTGTCTGATCACTATCATACCAACTATCTTTTCACTTTGAGATTAATAATGAAGTAATCTGAAATCTGACGCTGGCGATATTGCCGCCACAATACCTCAAACAACTTCGTTTGCAGTGAGTAATTTGTAACATTCCCGGTAAATAAATAGAACATCGTCCTACGTGATGGTTGTTATAGGCTGCTGGCTTGTAATCAGCTGTAAAATAATCTCAAAAAGAATGATCAGTTTTCATTGACCTCATTGTGCGATCGTTTGACTCAACTGTAGAATCTTGGTGATGTGAATGCTTCAGTTTTAATTAACTGTGGTTAAGCCTGACGTTCCAACAGTTATCCTACTATTGGAGCATAAGATTGAACAGCATGAGTCTTGATAAACATCCTGATGGATCATTATAAATCTAGCGTAATGAATCTAGCATGGCGCGTGCCACGATCACAAGTTCGGCACGCACGACACACGAATTCGTGCGTGGCACGATATCGAGTTCGGAACGCACGGCGTTTGAAATCATACGTGAAGCGTGCCGCGATCAGGTGTTTAACACGCACGACACACGAACTCGTGCAATACACGTGGTGAGATCACGTGTTTTGCACGCACGTAACACGAATTTGTTCTTCGTGGTGCACGCTGCATTTCAGTAGATCAGCGGCAGTCTTCGCTCATCGATCCGCTGATGATTGTCAAGATGCTCTTCGCCATTCATATCCCGTCCACTTGGTGGCTGCCAGTGGCTCAGTGGATTACCGCTGACTGCCACTTGATGGCTACCAGTGGCTCAGTGAATTGCTGCTAAATGCCACTTAATGGCTGTCAGTGGCTCAGTGAATTACTGGTGACTGCCACTTAATAACTGCCAGTGGCTCAGTGGATTACCGCTGGCTACCACCTGATGGCTGCCAGGGGCTCAGCGGAGTAATTCTTGAAAATCCGTACCAAGCCGTGAGATCTAAACTTGAATCGACTCCGGCCTTTATTGTTCGTAGCAACGTATGTAGCTATTAAGATTCGATTGGAAAACGTAACTTAAAAAATTAATTGTAACTTCAAGAGCTTTATTAATGGAATATGCATCGGAGGAATGGCAGAAATGTTAAGCCGATGAAGGATAGCCGCGCCATCACCTGCTCTTTGGTTATCAATTAACAATCACGGGCGATGTAGCAGAGGCGCCTCAAAGTTTGACTTGGTCAGAACTCTCGGCCATTTGTGAGTGCACTCAAATAAATTAGCGAGACTTGTCCAAATATCGATCCTCTTTTTGCCCTTGCGTGTGTCCTCTGATACAATTTGACCTGTCCAATAATCAGTGCTTCGCCTGCTCTCTGTACTTGTGCTCTGAGGGAATAAAACGTATCCATACATGTTTTCAATATGAAGTGCAATATTCATGCAATATTACAATACAATATTACAATACAATATATGCAATATATATATTGTATATAATACAATATATACAATATATATGCAATATTCCTTGTGCGGCTTTGGATTTTTACAGACCAATTTTTACAGATCAGATCGTAATTGTTATGGCGCCTTAGCGTTCTCTTTGGAAACTATCCAAAAGGAGTCTATATTGCAAGTCGATGCTTCCGCTTGTTTATCCCGTTCTGTTTTAGGATTGTTTTTCCAGGGCTTGCCGAGACCACTTCTCGTTTTATAAGGCATAAATGATCGTATAAAACTGAGTTATAGGAGTCTGATGGTTCCGAATCCTTGAGAGGCAAGGCGTATACACGGATATTACTGCCCGATTGCTATTTCTAATCATTGCTTTTCCATTTATATATGAGTGCAGAAAAGTGAAAGGCAACGACAATGTATAGGGAGAAACTCATGACTTGAATCGTAAGTAAAAAAGAGTGTAAGAGGGCGATTTTTCAAAAGATGAGAATGAATCGAACTTATAATTAAAAATAAAAATTATTTATGTGAGTGCCTTGCATTTCAGGTGAAGGGATAAGAAAATTACGTACGAATTAATGTGTATATTTTTTATTGTAAACAACAAAGTTAAGACATACCTCACGTTTCAACAATTACAACATTTCTGGCATAGGTAGACTTTGTTCATGTTATGCCTATGTCCAAAAATACAGAACAAAGGAAACATTTAAACTATTATTCACATTGAAACGCTTCCTAGGATTATATTTACATTTACTATAAGATTTGTACACACTCGAGCCTACAGGTTCATGGAAGAAGGTACAGATGCGACGCTAGGCTTTACAAGGACTACAGACACTCAGAGCAATGTGTGTGACACTGTCCCTAATAGCGACGCACCTATTTGCAGGACCAGTTTGGTTCAGCATAACGGCATGTCGGTACTTTTGTATGTCACTATTTTATAAAAGATGTGTATCGCTATTCGGACAATACGACCTATTCATTTTTCTGAGAGCACACCCACTTTTGATGCTCCTCAGGAAGTCTTTTGGACAGTGAAAAAAAAAACAGATTGAAAATTAATATACGTGATCTTCAAATTAGTTTTGGAATGATTAAAGGACTAATTTGGATTGTTCGAAAGTTTAGGACCATATATACCACTGAGTCTCACTTCAACGAAAGAAAGATCCGCATTCCGCGAGTTGAGTTTCTCACCCGCCTCCTCAACTAAACATTTAGTCGGTTAGGTGCGAAGTCATGTTGGCTTGACGGAGGATAAGTCGGTTTTGTCACCTGATAAACATTTGTGTGGCTGCAAAGGCAGCGGAAAATTTCAGGGGCAAAATATTTTTGTCCGTAAGCATGATCTTGAAATGTTTTTTTTATCAAATATTACTTCCGTTTTTGTATCGATTAATTGTATGATGCAAGTAACAAGATTCAGATGACATTAACTTATTTGAGGGTATAAGCCAATCCTCACATGTTGGTCAAAGTGTTTAGGTTTTACGTATAATTACGTTGGGTCCATAGATTACAGAAAGAAGTGAGGAAATTTTATCTTATCTGTATTAAGGATTTCCCTTAATACAGATGATTATTATTAGAAAGTAACTTACTTTCAACAAGACATAATCATAACGAGTGGATACATAAAACTCTACGCCCATATTCATTTCAAGACTCTCATGGCACTTCATTATTTTTTACGCCTGAAAATTCCACTTCCGGTGCATCAGGGGCTGAATTACTTGATAACTTGACATTCGAAATTATTTCCTAAGTGCACAAGTTCCACAATTAGTGGTCAGGAGTGCAGTAGAGATGGCGTCCAGACTGGGTGTCCTCGATCGTTGAAGAATATTTATTTTCCGTTGCGATTCGGTCACTTATTTGCCTTCCAGGCGATTATTAAAAACTATTTTTTCCACGTGGTCATTGATCTTGACAATTCATCTACTGATCTGCTGCATTGCGTGAATTGAATAGACTACGAATATTACCTGAATTATTTTAATTCCTTTACTTTGCTTTCATTCGTAATGATTTACATTCATATCGGCTAAGTTTCTTGAAAACAACAAATCTGCGAAAACAATTTTTCCAAAACTGGATAGATGAAGCTGTCAATATACTCGTGTGAGTAGCATATATTTAAAGCAACCGAACGCTTGAGTTTTCTGGTATTTCCTCGACTTTCGATGGGGTGGCAGTACGGATGAGGTGGTCTTTCTTATGCTGTTTTTCGTCTTTCTTATGTGGTCATTCTTATGTTGTTATCGATATGGTAGCTCAGTAGTTGGAAGGGGAGTGATCTATCGCCAACTCATGAGGAAGTGGGGAGGGGAGTTGGGGGAAGAGCTTGGCTGGGAATCCGAAGAAGTGGAAGAAGTGGGAGGAGAAAGAGCTGGTGAACTAGGAGGGGAATCTGGAGGGGTTGTAGGTGAAGATGACAGCGGTGAAATGGGTAAACTGGCGGGGGGTAGTGGCGGTGGAAGGGGTGGAGAAGGTGGGTCAGGTGGGGATGACTTGTTTTCTGGTGCGGTGGATTTGGCGCTTCCGTTGCTAAGAGGAAATGGAGGAGCAGCTGTTGGTGGAGGCGGGGCCGTGTGTGCTGGAGGAATTAAAGTAGGCTCGGGTGATATTTTATCATTAAGTTCCTTGAATGATTTTTCGATCTCTGATAACATCGATCCTTTCGGAAGAAGAGATTTTTGATTCTTGGCAAGCGTCGACGTAGGCGAAAAAGGGTACAGGGGAGACGTGACTGAGCTGAAACTAGACCCACAGTCCTGACTTGCCGACGACTGCACCGCTGGCTGAGCATACTGTGAACGGTGAGTCTTCCTATTAAGCGTCGAAGTACTGGGGATCGCGTTGGGAATAGCGTATGGGGACGTGGCTGGGGGTTTTGGAGGCACAGGGGGCTTAACACATGAGTTTATTTTGTGTTTCAGGTGGTCCGTGCTTGGGACTGGAGGAGGAGGAGGGAGTGGCCACATTTCTTCATCCTCCAGATCATCTTCAGCAAGACTAATATCGTTCTTCAAGTCAGTGTGACGTTCAAGAGTAGAGGCTTTGCTCAACTCTTTTAATCCAAGTGAGTTCATAGAAGTCGCATCTTCTTTGGAGGTATCGCTGTGCCAGGGATCCGTAAATGGGTTCTTGAGTCCGTCGAACAGGTACGGAGGAGGGCTAAATTTGCCAGATGTAATCTGAACTGGTGAATCTAGTTCGTCCTTATCCTGAGTATCAGGAGTCTGACGATGGATGCCATTGACATGAAGCGTTGGAGGGCTTCTGGCCCCATTCGCCAAACGAGCAGCTGGTAAGTTGAATTCGTTGGTGGAAGATGAGTCTTCAGTTCTCCAGCCATTTGTTGCGTTGGTTATGCGATTGATGAAACTTGTCATCCCCGCAGGCAATGGAAGCCTACGGGGAACGTATCGTCAGACTGTCGTTTCGAAATTTACATCAATACAGTGAGGGAAATGGCACTCAGGAGGTTCTTGTTGGTTTTCTTGATGCCCAGGGGCAAGAACCTCTTCCCCTGATATTGAAAGAGGAGTTTTCTTCTGTCTCTTCCACAGATCATTCGCATACCAGCTTACAACTACAGTTAAGGAACCAAAAAGAATGCCAAAGAATAACCAAAACCAAGGAGAAAGAGCCATTAGGCATGTGCCGACCGATTCATCAGAGCCGGTAGGACAGTGCCACGTTCCATCACAGAAAAGCGATGCGCTGATGCACGCATGCACTTCCGGACATTCAGTCGCACATCTCTCGGCCAACCATCGCGGCGCTGCTTGAACGTACCTTATATTGATTGTATCACTGTAATGATGCGCCGAATAATGGCTTGGTCGAGTAACCATAACGACAATAAGAGATCTTTGATTCTGGTCCAGGTAGTCTAGAGACCATGGATCACGAAATCCCCTGGAGAAAACTTGCACAGTCTCAGACGATGACGGATCTACACACACAGCACTTAGCGGACGAGGAGTGCCCGGCTGGTAGGCATGTAGTTCGGGCCCGGAACATGCAGAAAGTGGGAAATTGTTGCTTGAAAACATCGTGTGAGTATCTTCCACTAACTGGAGTCCTCCTTGGATAACTCTCCCTGGTACAGATATCATCAGAAAGCGATCCTTCTTCGGTCTAATTAACCACGGATGTCCTCTGCAGGGACCCGACGGTGGTTTCATAGGTAGTGTGAGGTAGCCTGATTCCCCCTGAACAATGCGTTTCTCCTCACATTCAGCAACTTCAACAAACTCATATTCAAGCTCAAAAGAAAAGTGAGAGAAATCATCAAAAACGTTCATACCGACGACCGTAAAATTGATAGCTATGTTAGAAGTGAATGACATTAGAGCGGCTGGCAAGCTGCTGCCATGACATAAGCATGCCAGTGGCAATTCAATCTCTTTCCATGGATATTCGGAGACCTCCAGTCGGGATCCCCGGCCTTCTAAACGATGAGGTCGTCCGCAGGCCTGCAGAGGCGACTCTCCTCCGTGACACGTCGAATTATGCGCTGTAAATGAAATGAATGTCACTCGCACTGCTTCGTTGGGCTTGCCTCGAAGTCGGTATTTACATTGCAGAGAAGTTTCTCCAAACTTGCCGTACAGTAAATTATTTGCTGGTGACTGAATCATCCCTTTCTTACTTCGTTCACTTGTGATCAGTTTGTCGCATGGATGCTGAATATTCAAAGCCTCAGCTTTAGGTCCAGAGTAAACAAATTCATAATGCAGCCGGAATTCGAGATTGGCGACAGCTGACGGTAGAAGGTAATGGATCGTGAGGGTCGCTTTTGGACCTTGCGTGAGGTAACTCTCGCTCTCTCCGCACGGCCGAGTTCGGTTTCTGCCTGGCCCCAGTTGCTCACGATGACACACGCGGACTCCCATATGGCCACAAGAGCTTTCTAAGGGTTCTTCGGCCCCTTCCTCGGAAAGTGTAATTCTTGTGCGACAGTGCGGTGCGTCACGAGACTTTGGTTGGTTGTATGTTGATTTTAATCGTGTGAAATGTAGCCAAATGACTTCATCAGAGCGACCAATGAATTCATAAATGCACTTGGAGTCGCTGGGCAGAGAATGAGCAACATTTTCAAAAAAGCCTTTGGCTGCCTCAAAACTTGAAATAGTGAACATGCATTTGTCCTCAGCGTACAAGTACGAGTTTTTTGGAACGAAAGCTACTCCCACATCGAGTTCAAAGCCGGGGTGGGTGCCAGGTGACGGGTCGAAGTACATATTGTCGAACGCTGAAGTCTGGAAGACTAAGAGCAGCTCTGCACCACTTGAAGTGACCCGTGGAACGATGCCTCCTCCGCAAAATCGCAGTAATAGACGTCGCTTTTCGCCTGAAATTTCGTAGATGTTGAGCGTGTCTCCAACAACATCGCACTCTGAGTCTAGCCTCAACTGAAGTGTTTTGTCGCACTCTGCAGCGTCTGTATGGCGGATATGCACGTGCCCGTTATTAGGTTGGCCCACGCTGACGAGGGCGTGGCGACCGTAGGGCACTGTGGCCTGTCTAATGATGTACTGACACGTGATGTTTCGTGGGTACATGCCGGGATAATTAGGTGATTGGATGCGACATTTTCTCCTATCACAAGAATCGAATATTTTGTCGCAAATTGAGTTAGGGCGCGCAAAACCCAAGTATTTTGCACTGTCCCAAGTGCCATAGCGTACGACAGCTTTAGCTTCTAACAGAAACTTGTATAAAACACGGGTTCTGAAGTCCTTATCTACGGTCATGAGGCTGCTACTTTTCTCTGGAACATGGATCGTAACGCTAACTGTGTTTGTTTCGCTATAGTAAACGTTATGTAAATTGCTGCCACCACACCAGTATCCTTCGATATGTGGGCGCATGGCTTCGTCCACCGTTATGGATCCTCCAGGACATCCGAAGACGTGATGGGACCTGAAGGTGCCGAGAGTCACGTCCCTGAACACCAGCTGTACGAGTTCTCCGTAAATGTCACCAGCTGCCACAAATGTCAGATGACAGGTAAAGGGCAGCTTGGCAGAAGCTGACAAGCGCAGGTCTAGCTCATAGCTCTTGCCAACCTCTCCGTAGTATGTCACGTTGCAAGCTGCAAGGAAAAAATGCAGGCATTACAATACTAAGTGAAGGTTACGTTAGGTTATATTAGGTTAAGATTATGCCCATTGCTGCAAGCTGCATAGACAAAAGTAGGCTTTACTTAGTGGAGCTAAGGCTAGAATAGGCTAGGTTAAGTTGAGATTATGACCATTGCTGCAAGCCGTATAGACAACTGTAGGCTTTACTTAATGAATCCTGGGTTAGGTTAGGCTAGGTCAAGTTAAGATTATGATCATTGTTGCAAGCTGCATAGACATAGGTAAGCTTTATCTGGTAGAGGCTAAGTTAGGTTAGGTCAGGATGAATTAAGATTATATCAATCATGATCTAAAAATTTTTCTGTCAACAGAGGTTTTTTCGAAGAAATATAATTAATGTTTACCGCAAATATGTCAATTTTCTGGGTTGCCATCATATGATCTGAAGTTCAAGAGACAAGAGAGACAAATAAAAATATTTTCACCGACTGAAAACCTTTGAGGATTTTATTACAATAATATTACTTGTTTGTGAAATATATTATTTATTCGATTTCGAATTAACGTAGCAATGCTCGAACTTTTCTTGCTTAGAAAACAGTTAATTCAGATATGGACTAGAAATTCGTCACACACGAGAGAAAAATGAGGAAAATGAAGCCATTTTAACTAACATGGACAACATTCTGATCAGCTGACGACTCTAAGACAGTGTTTCTAAAATTTTTGTGATTGAATACGCTTGGAGGTCATGTACCACTGATACGTCATCAGCGCACCACCAGGTTTCTGCTGAGTACCACTAATACTTACAACAATAATACTAATACCCTGCTGTGACTGTTAATACACTGTTCGAAAAAAAGGCGGGAAAACATTGACAACTGCGTTTTAATGGCCGGCCGGCCCGTGAAAGTCGGTCATGATGGTTCCAGTTTCATACGTTACCTTCTAAATGTACAGCAACATTGTTTTTTTTCCAGTTTGGAAACCGCTGGTCTGTGAGATTGGGACTTTTTGGTGACTCACGCCAGTTGAGAAACTGCTGGTCTGTGAGACTGAGACTTTGTGGTGACTCACGCCAGTTGAGAAACTGCTGGCCTGTGAGACTGAGACTAACGCCTGTTTAGAAACTGCTAGTCTGTGAGACTGAGACTTTGTGTTGACTCACGCCTGTTTAGAAACTGCTGGTCTGTGAGACTGAGACTTTGTGGTGACTCACGCCAGTTGAGAAACTGCTGGACTGTGAGACTGAGACTTTGTGGTGACTCACGCCTGTTTAGAAACTGCTGGTCTGTGAGATTGAGACTTTGTGTTGACTCACGCCTGTTTAGAAACTGCTGGTCTTTGAGACTGAGACTTTGTGGTGACTCACGCCAGTTGAGAAACTGCTGGTCTGTGAGACTGAGACTTTGGGTTGACTCACGCCTGTTTAGAAACTGCTGGTCTGTGAGACTGAGACTTTGTGTTGACTCACGCCTGTTTAGAAACTGCTGGACTGTGAGACTGAGACTTTGTGGTGACTCACGCCAGTTTAGAAACCGCAGGTTTAGAAAGTAAAGTTACTCACGTGTGCAGCCGGGACGCTCGTCTGACTGATCACCACAATCGTCTTCGCCGTTGCAAACCTTGTCCCGCGGGACGCACTGCAGATTATCGCAAGTGTGCTCGCTCACGGGGCAGGGACTTGCACTGCCCACTCCTCCGCCACTCCTGTGACTCGTCAGGGGACTGTCAGGCCCCTCGGTGGCAGCCTCATCCAGTCCCCATATCAAGAAAATTAGCATGAGGCTCATGAATGCATTGAAGAAACCCGTCCTGGCACGAGCAGACGTACGTAACCGAATGGAAGTTTTCCCGTTGAGCTGCGAGCGTGTGCGATGCGCAGAGTTTAGCGAAACTATCCCCGGGGAACTTTGATTAGAAGCTCTTAATCTAAATAATACACTATCTTCCTGTATATTACACCCCCATATTCGTGCAAACATTTGCCTTGTATTCATTGTATTAAATGACCAGCTTCTCGTTCTGTACGTATGCATCCGCTGTGCTTCTGCCTGCTCGTCGCTCCGTCTTCTCGTCTCGTCGCAAAGTTTGGTTCGCTCGACGAATTCTTGTGTAAAGTTCGTGCCGCATGCCGACCTCGACACGACAGTCTTGCTGTCGCTGCTGCATTGTAGCCTGAACGCTGCCCTGACAAGGTGTCGGCATGTCGGGTGATTGGTTGGTAAAGACGAACTGGTCGTCACGGTTTGGTCTTCTATCAGTGTACATCGAGTTACTTTTGCAGGGAAACCGCAAGTTGAAGTTTTAAATACGTTGGTGAAGTCGTGCTGCTTTGGATGAGAAAATTTTCTTCCTGAATTCTGAACCGATTGGGATGAATCTTCGCCTGAGCATGACTGCGGGGCTGTGGATGTGCTTCTTGGCTGCTTCTGTACCATCACTCAGCCGTACACTCTGGAAACAGAGAAAAATACAGTCAATAGAATAATTATTATACACAAATGAATAATTAGTATATAAAATAGAATAGGTAATAGAAATTGTCTAAAGAATATTCTAGAAAAATCGTAAAATAATATTGCAAGAACTTTTTCTTAGCTGGTGATCAGTTATTGCGAGATTCAACAAACTTGAATCTTCGGAGCCTTTCCCGTAGATTTATCTTTCTGAAATGTTATAAATTTATATATGTTGTCATGCGCTCATACAGCGTCTCATGTTAACTACCTTAGCATTTGTTTACAGTTTTTTCCTTATTTTAGGTTTACGCAAATATTTTCAAATTATGTTTATTTGAACTGCATGTTTGGTCTCTTGTGTCAACTCCTTCATTTATTAATGAATGTAGGTGTCGAACCCCGTTGCATTTCTGTATTTCTACGGCTTCAGAACATCAATCAACAACTCATCTTTTACTTTCTTTACACCAGAAGCCGGCTTTTTACGAGTATTTAAAGCGTGTTAAAAAGATTCAGCGGTGCAGGTAAATCTGAAAGGGAATTTCTTCACTGTAGCAATGTTATGATGAAACGCGTGAAATAGAATGACCATTTGAGTCTGCGTTCGTTTCCGAAAGGCAGTTTTTTTAAGAATAATAATAAATTAATTATGCAAGAAATACTTTTTGATAGTATTGAGTCATTTATTATAAAAAGTATAGTTTGATTTCATTTTATGGTGAATATACTTTTTGATATTTTAGCGAATGACGATGAACTTCTGGGTTCCAATAACCTCAACGCTCCGAGACAATTAATTTGTACTCATTAAAAAAGTATGTAATTGATTGTACAAAATTTTGTAGTTAATTAGTACATATTTATGTAATTATGTACTCATAACAAAACAAATCAGTGCAAGAATTGTAAACTAATAAGGCAGCACAGGCGTTAGTTTGTCACAGCAGCTCATGTGTACACGGGCAGCAGGGAGGCCGGGGCGTCGCACCGCGTGTCTCGGCCGCTGGTCTCATGAAGACAAATTAGAGAGCTTAATGTCACCCTAGAGTGATGGAGGGCTGGCACCCGCACACCTGCATCACTCCAGTGATGGAGGGCTGGCACCCGCACACCTGCATCACTCCAGTGATGGAGGGCTGGCTGCCCTGTCTCTTATACACATCTAGATGTGTATAAGAGACAGAGTCTCAACAATCGCACTAGTCTCAACAATCGCACTACTCTCAACAATCGCGCTAATCCCAACAATCGCACTAGTCTCAACAATTGCACTAGTCTCAACAATCGCACTAATCTCAACAATCGCACTAGTCTCAACAATCGCACTAGTCTCAACAATCGCACTAGTCTCAACAATGGCACTAGTCTCAACAATGGCACTAGTCTCAACCGTCGCACTAATCTCAACAATTGCACTAGTCTCAACAATCGCACTAGTCTCAACAATCGCGCTAGTCTCAACAATCGCACTAATCTCAACAATGGCGCTAGTCTCAACAATCGCACTAGTCTTAACAGAATTTACAGCTTTCATTGAATTAATGACCACCTTAAAAGTTACGTGAATCTCGCCCCCGTATTGAGGGCCGGCCGCCGAAGTTTGGAGCCTAAAACTGGTCTTTGGAGTATAGCCGTGGCTTAGAGCGAAAAAGTAACAAAAATGCTGAAATGGTTGATTCAGATTATTTAATTTTAATCCATGTAATTGAGAGGCTTGAAAATTAAAGAATTTCCGATGTATTTGAATCGGAATCAGTTTCAGGTATCGGGTCGCCGTTTCCTAGGCTGGGACGGCAGGGTCTCCTGCTGCTCGGAAGTGAGCACTTGAGCCGGGGAGAGGGAGGGACTCGCTTCCGTTCCTAGATGGATCTGCAGGAGTGAATCCTATTGGCAAGCCGATACACATTGCGTCGTCCGATAGCCTTTCTATTTAAGAGAAAAACTTCCTTGGCCAAGTCGCATTGAACGTAGACTCATTTTTCCAATTGAATGGGGCTATGGTGATCTGGAACCCTCATTATTCTGCGTCTGAGATTTCGTTTCACGAAAACAACAACATTCGATTGCTTGAAGTTTTTTTAAATTGAATGGTTAGTTTTTATTTTGGAGCTCATTTTTTTTTCATGAGTTCCTGGTAATTTGCGAATAAACATCTTTTTAAATCTGTCTGCATTCATAAACGTTTCTTTATATTGCAAGACGGATTATTATTACCTGTCTCGGAAACTTTGGTTTGCCATCGGCTCCCGAAATCTGGCTCACCGGACTCCCAGCTGTGTCCACGTATTATTCATAATTCGTCCATTTGCTACAAAATTGTTCATCATTTCCATAGTGCGGCCGTTCATCACCCACAGTCGAGCATTTGTGTTCATGAGAACACGAGTCTGGCGTCATGTAAGATCACTCATCTGTATTCATGGACGCGCGCTTTACGAGACTCGCGTCTCTACCCTCGCTCGCTCATCCCAGTGATCGAGGCGCTCGTATCTCTGATACGGCCACCACTTAGCTATAACAAGGCTTATCATAAGAAAAATCTGTACCTTCATCTCTATTAAAAGGGCATTTAATTAGCGTTGTTAAAATTATAATATTAAAAAGAACCTAGTTCATGTAGAGCGCCAGTAAAATAATATTTCTAGTGTTTTTTTTTGCAGAAATATCTGCTATGTACAGAATTGTCAAATGTATAGTCGGGGTTTATTCAAGATCAATAGATCCAATTTATTTTCATCATTATAACTCTTCAATTTAACGACCTCGTTATAGGTTTCAGTAATAGTATTTAGACCTGATTTCTGAAGCAGAAATGTCAACCTCCATAACATGTGGCTGTTTAATTTCATTTTTAACGGCGCAGATCCCAAAGCTCATTCCAGCAACCTGATAACATAAACAGAACGGAAGTTGGCAGAATATGAATGCAGTCTTTATGGAGGGCGTAAAGGTTTTACGAGGGTGTTTCAGTGTAGGTACCGAGGGCACTAGTCCTGAGGGGACGCCGAGGTGAACGTACGTAACATTTTCTCCTTCATGGCCGCAGTTCTTTCAAATTTGTCTCGCTTCATAACTGGAAAAGTTCTACCGCAGAGTACCGTGAGGTATCATGGTACAGTTAATATGTGCCTGCGCCAAACTCGATTTTGTGGAATTTTTAATTAAGGAATTGGACAAATATCATGGCTACGTTTTCTGTTAATCATTATTGAGCTAATTGTGGCATCGTTGGTATTTAAAATTATTGAGTATTAGTAAGGGATTATACAGTATGCAGGGAGGTGACAGATATAATGTTTCATTTTTAACTATCGAGCTTGACTAGAATTTAGTCAACACAATAACCTTTTTTCGAACACTTTTCCATGAAAGTCTTGATGATAAGTGCGTCGAGAAAGACGAATATCACTCTCACATTAAAATTGTTCATAGATTTCACTTTAAAGTTTAAAAATTTCAAATCTTGCGAATCCCAAGGAACGATTGCTAATAACCCTGCAATGAGTCAATAACCACCTCGTTCAACTCATTTTATATTAATAAAATAACTAATTCTTTAAATAATTGTTAATATTTTTAAATTGGTATCGTCGTTATTCATGGTCCGGGTCCGCCGGTGGGGGTGGAGTGACGGGGGTGGGGGGTGCCTCATTAAAAGAAGGGAGCGCCGCCCCCCGGAGTTACATCATCAGCGACAGAAAACTTGTGGAAGTATCGCGTGAGGAATGGTAGGCTGGCCCAACTTTTGTTGTCCGTGCCATAAACACTTCCTATATTAGGAAGTTTTGAATTTGCCCGCTATTATGTAGACTTCATATTATCTAATTTTTGTTTGAGGCTGGCAAAGTTATTGCAGCCAAGTATGAGGAGTTTTTTTAATCATGGCTCTTTGAAATTTGACGAGAGTTCATGTCGCTTAAGAATTCACTGAAGATGAGTTATAATTTTTAAGCTGTTTTAAAATACTTCAGAATATCTTAACAAAGGCATTAAGTATGACAGGATAAAGTTATGCGTATAAAGAGAGCGAAGAAATTTATATTTTTATATTAGCTCTAAATTCTCAGTACCGAGCATATTGTTTTCTAGAGAAGAATTTTTAAATTTAGATTCAACAACATCACACATTTTTCATCTAATCACATTTGAAATTTCATTCCAAACTAACATGCAACTCAAATTTCTTCATCAAAATTGCTGACGATAGCGATTTAGATGACGGTAATTAGTCTTCAGAATTAATACCGAGGTGTATAACTGTTTAAAAAATATAACTCAGTACTCACTGCAGTGAGTGACAGAGAGCGCATTTTCTTGTCGACGAAAACTTGAGGTCACGGACAGACGGACGGACGGACAGACAGACAGACAGACAGACAGACGGACATGGCGAGCACAATAGTGCATTTAGAAAATGCGCTAAAAATAACAATTAATATTCAGTATAACAGAATGTATATCTGATTACTCCCTGTGCATGGTTTATCCTACCACGTCAATAACGTCGAAACAACAACCGTTCAATCAACGTAACTTCAACGTGACAACGTTTAATAAACGTTGATCCAATGTCATATACCTGGCGGTAAGGTTCAGGGGAGCCTGCATAATGTGAGGGGCAGGCTGCCCTCTGTATACGCTACCTGTTGCCGCCTGTTCTGTTCAGCAGGACTTTAAGGCGCCGTTATGGCCTTACAGAGATGGCTGTAATAACCAGCCAGGCACTGCCTACCTTACAGTTACTAGCCCAAAAAAATATAACTCAGTACTCACTGCAGTGAGTGACAAAAAGCGCATTTTCTCGTCAACGAAAACGTGAAGTCACGGACAGACGGACGGACAGACAGACAGACGGACATGACGAGCAAAAAGCGCCTTTTTTCCATAAATGAGAAAATGCGTTGAAAATGAACTGAGTCCAGGATAAGCTGCGACGTCAGCAACAAACATTCCGGCAAAACGAGTGTACTAATGTGAAACATTCAG